ATGGCAGTATCCACTTTCTGATCGTCACTTAGTTGACATATTCGGAAGTACTGCTCCATGTCGAAGAGGAAGTTATCAACTTCTTTCGCATCTCTAGCGCCACTGTAGTCGCGAGGTTTGGGCGGCTTTATCTTCGCCGCACTAACACCCAGTGCGTCTCTGCCCACAGCGCGCGTTAAGGTAGCACATTTCTCAAGTGCTTCGTCGGCTTTTCCTTGAACAAATTGCAATTGTTCGCGGAGGGCATCTCTGTCAGCCATCAATTTCACAATTTGCTCGGCTTGCTCGTGTACAATGACTTGGAGCTCGGCCCATTTGTCCGCCTTCTCCTCGAGCCAAGCGAGCCTTTCTTCTACGAATTCCATCTTCGTGTAGCCCTCCTTGGTGTCTACACGGGTTGCTTGCGACGAGGTTTGAGCCTCGGCTCTGATACCAACTGTCACGGTCCGGGAGTTTGGACCCCGAAACGTGCAGCGCGCTCTAACCTTTTGGCGGCAAGAACGCTAGCCTTGAGCGGAAGAGGGGCTTGTGAGCACAAAGCAACACAAGCGGGCAATAGAATCTCAGGAGCACTCACGTCTATCTGGGCGACGGAGTGCGGGTGGTCGGGGCTTGTGACGGCCGATACCTCAAAGCGGGCACAAGCGGGTCCGAACCACGAGTCCTTAGCGCATCAAGTTGGGTTGGAGGGGAGCTAATATGCAAGTAAGACACAATATCTATAAAGGTCTAACAACAAACAAGCATAAAAGCCAGGCAACACTTGGTAGAAGGTTTTAAGATTTCATTACTCATTCGCCCTCTAAAGAGCTTTAAATGACATACAAGGAGATTCCCTAGTGAACACTGATCTGACAGTAACACAATAATGGGATCTCAAGCTAAGAAAACATAACCTAAACTCTAGGAAAGCACTTAAATGGAATCTAATACATCAAAAGGAGTTGGATTCTAACACCAAGCCACTTGGGACTGATCAACATAGATTCCTGACTTCCAAGATTGATCTTGTGCAGAATTCTTCATCTCAAGCATGGACTGGCTCGAGTTTAGCCTGTCATTCTTGAGGGGGGGGGTGTTAAGCCCCTATGCCACGTCAGTTTTGTACAACTGGCTAGTTTGTTAGCTCTAACAGAAAGTTGTTAGAGTTTGTTATTATTACACTATATATTCTGTAATTGTAAGATTATTCTCTAGATTTTTCAATAATAAATTTCCTCTTATAATTTCTCTCATTATCTCTCTAGAATTTCATCTTCTTCTTCCGCTTATCATATGTTCATGTTCTTTAATTGTCAGTAAAATGTACTTTTATTTGTGATATAATGTTAATTGCTTATTGTGAAATGTTCTTTGAATTTTTTTTTTTAATTATAGTGAATATACATAAATAATGTTCATTACATAATATTTTCATGTTCTTTATTAATATTACAGATGTTCTTTAGATATTAAAAAAAAAATAAAAAAAAATAAAAAAATTGGATGTTATTTTCAAAACAGCTATATGCTCTTTACAAAACAATTTTATGCTCTTTAAAAAACTGCTACATGTTCTTTCCACGTTTTTTGTGTGTACCTTGCTAGGTACAGGCTGCTGTACCGTAAAATAGGTATATTTATAATCCTCCTATTACAATTAGACTAAGTCACGAAGCCCAAAACCCTCCTTATTCCTCCATATGGTCGGCAATCGGTCATACTAGGGGATGAGGGTCGTCATGGGTCTCGTTCTCTCGTGCTCGATCTAGGCCCTTTGTGTGACCTTATAGGATCTGTCTAATTGGGCTTTGGCCTATTTACTAGCCCAAAAATCGTTAGTACCTCTAGTTATGATATAACGATGACCCAAATATACGAACTTAATTATCTCCATAATTTGATCCCTTTATACGTAGTATATATATATATCTAGTAATGCACATGACGAATACATAAATCCTTCAATAATGACAGCTATATCAATAGTAACTCTTGATATGATAATTGAGTGTTTGGTAAATGGTAAAAGAAGCTATAGAAGCTCTAAGTACAATAGAAGTCATACACATATTTTAAGAATTAATGACACAAACACTATGATCACTCGTGCTATCCATTGTTAATTTTTGTTGCTAAATTGGATGATTGAGGCATATATATATGCAAACTTAACAATTGAAAGTTTAAAACTACTAGTAATTGGTGTTACACTGGTAAATTCCTTGTTTAAAAAATTGGGGTGAGAGAGGCTCGAACTCTCGACCTCAGGATTACTCAGAAGCTATGAGACCTACGCGCTAGCCAACTGCGCCATCACCCCAATTGTTGTTTTTTTATTGGAGTATTTGTACACATTTAATGTCGATTAAAAATAATTACTCTGTAAAAAAAATAATTACCATATAAATATCAATAATTAAAATAAACAGTTTTTATATGCACATTTCATACATTTATTACATAACAAACTGTAAAATATATAATAACAATATATACTCTGTATTGATAATTAGAGAAGATAGGTAAAAATTATTAAAATTTGTGAATAATGTCAAAATTCAAAACTTGTCAATTAGATAAAATTCATTCATATATAATAGACACCCAGTAGGCCAGTACACCAATATCTTTGGCAGCTTCAACAACACCACTCAACAAGTCAACAATGCACATTCTCATTTATAGATGCATGAGAGATATTAGCACGTGTTTTTTCTTATATATACCGTGCATTAGCACAGACACATTCTTAATGTCTCTCATGTATCTATAAACTGATGATGAATATTCTCTTGAACCATTATAATGTGCTATATATCATCAATAATTTTATTTTTTTTTTGACAAGATCAATATACTTTTTGACAAACATAGATCTTAAAATTCAGCCAATTTTTACCCACCCCAATATATATAGTACAATTTTTTTTTTTTTTGACGAAACAATGTATTGAAATTGAGCTCAAATTTAAACAATAATCAAGTAGGAACAAAATATTCGTAAAAAAAAAAAAACTAGGAACAAAGTAATAATACTTGTAAACAAAGTAACAATTACAGCATACATATAGGAATTGGACCATATCATAAGCGTAATTAAGATCTAAAAGACTACTTCACTTCATTCCATTAAATTATTGTTTAATTTAAAGCAAGGACTAGTACAACTTACTAACTAGGAAGTAACAACAGTATAGTGCATATTACCACCCTAATTGATACGATCATCGAGATTACTTTGACATACTAAGGATTAGAAATGGAAGTACCTAAATTAAAGTCGTTCTCAAGAGCTTAATTATGTTGCTAACAAACATAGTACGGATTGCATCATAATTTTGGACATGCAACTAACGAACAAGCGGTAATGGATGAAGTTATGTTCAACTTAAGGGCACTTGACTGTAACACCGTGGTAGACGATGTCGTTCCAGGAGGGGCAAGTGACTGTAGGACTTGGAACACATTTAGAATTGGCTATACAACATTGACTGCATATCCTCACACACATCCTTGTCCTTCCGGCGTAAGCGGGGGAGGCTTCACACCTCTTCATGCACTCCGTCGGGCAAAACCCTAACATATTCCACACATACATAAGTAACATAACCGAATTACCTTATGTTAGTCGAATACACTAACAATAATGAAAATTCTAATGTAGTCTTATGACTTTTGAGTTTTGACTACCATAATTTTTTTTTAAAAATGAATGGCTGAGATTGTTTGGATTTTTTATTTATTTTTAATTATTTTTAATTTTAAATTTTTTTTTAATCATTTTATATATTTTTTTATTTCCAAAATATTAATTTTTGAAGATAAAAATATATTTATATGTAGCCCTAAGGGCTATATATAAGTATTAAATACACTCTTGAAAATTGTATAAAATTAGGAATTCCTGACAAAAACACGCGTAAATCAGTGTAATCAGTGTAAATCAGTGAAACTTTTTACGATTTTCAAGTGTAAATTTAATGCTTATATGTAGCCCTAAGGACTATGTATAGCATTTTCCAACAAATAATTAAGGGATCTCAACCGTCCATTTTTAAAAAAATCGGGGTAGTGAAAAGTTTTAAGACTACATTAGAATCATTGCTAACAATAAAGTTGCCAATTAAAGAGTTTTTAACTAACTTACACTACAAGAATATTTCCGTCCTTTTTACATAGCAATTATTATAACTTTTATATGGCCTGGTATTGATTGCATTTACTATCAAAAAAATTTCCCAACAATGGCTATTAATTCGATACAAAGATTCACAGTTACCATAGCATTTGGTAGTGTTTTTGTATTTGCTGGTTATGGTTTGCCCTCAATAATCGATACAAACAAAAAAAAAACTACATCCAGTTGTGATGATTATTGTTGAGTTTATAGTCACTATAAATATTGAATCCAGCAACTTCCAAATAAGTTGCATTTAATAGTGGGCATATAAGTTTAAGTAAAACTATAACATGCAATGCAAACTCAATCAAATTCTAACATGAGATGTTTTAGTGCTAAACAATGTCATATTTTATGTTCACTTTTCCTAATAAAATTTCAAAATGTATATTATAAAACAGAAAAGTTTTTTATTTTTATTTTTTATTTTTATCAACCTTTGGATTTTTTTTTTTTGAAAGAATCAATTTTTGAATTTAATATGGCACTAAACGATATACGAAGTAACATTTTAAATGTGTACAAAAATGATAAATGTATTTAATTATGTTTTAAAACCAAATTTATATGGATTTAGTTAATATGGTGATTTTAAAAATGATACTAGCTAGCTATTTCTATATTATTTTACAAATATAAGTTGCACATACATTGTAGAGAATGTATAATCACCACAATACAACATAATTACTATGAAAAGACTTTAATTTTTTGTTGTGGAAACATACCGTGATTGTAAGGTTCAGAAGGAATTTCCGGGGTAGGTGGGCAAGTTGAAGGAGGAGGAAAGGGAGATTGTGGTGGATAAGTTGGGGGAGTAGCGATTGTTGGGGGAGTGATGGGAATTTGTGGTGGTGGGGATACGATAGTTGGGGGAATAACGGGAGTTGGAGGAGTTGTGGTGGTTGGGGGAGTGACAGGAATTTGTGGTGGGGGGCATGTGATAGTTGGGGGAATAGCAGGAGTTGTGGTGGTTGGGGGAGTGACGGGAATTTGTGGTGGGAGGCATGCGATAGTTGGGGGAATAGCGGGAGTTGGAGGAATTGTGGTGGTTGGGGGAGTGACGGGAATTTGTGGCAGGGGGCTTGTGATAGTTGGGGGAATAATGGGAGTTGTGGTGGCTGGGGGAGTGACCGGAGTTGAGCAAGGAGAAGTGGGCATTGGGGGATTGGCAATGGCCGGAGGAGTTGCGGTGGTTGGAGGAGTTGCGGTAGTTGGCGGAATGGATGGAGTTGAGATAGGAGGGATAGACATTGGAGGGGGAGTGGTAATTATGGTTGGGGTAACGGATGGAGTTGGTGTGGGCATTGAGGGAGTGGTAGTGGTTGGGGGAGTGGCAGGACTCGAGCAGGGAGTTGCAGTGGTTGGGGATGTTGTAGGAGGAGTAGTTGGAGTCAAAATTGGGGGAGTGGCAGTGGATGGAGCGATAGCTGTGGTCGGGGGAGTGCCAGTAGGTGGGGGGGTGGTTGAAGGTATTGGTGGGGTACAAGTGGAAACTGGTGGGGTTGTAGGAGGTGGAAGGCCAAATGGTGGAGTTGGTGGAAGAATGACGGTTAGTGGAGTTGGTGGGAGAGTAGTGATTGGTGGAGTAACGGGAGTTAGGGGAGTGGTTGGAGCTATTGGTGGAGTGCATGTGGACCCTGGTGAAGTTGCGGGAGGTCGTGGGAGATTTGTAGTTGGTGGAGTGACGGGAGTTAAGGGAGAGGTCGGAGCCATTGGTGGGGGGTAGACGACTGAGAAAGTGTTACCACCGTCTGGCGGAGGATAATTAGCGTACACCTGCTACATGCAAAAAATTGTAAATTTTAGTTAGAAAAAAATGTATGAACTAATTCAATGAAGCTAAGAAAATTATGACGCTACACTTATGTTATTTAAGCACGAGAAGAAAAATTAACTTGTGTAATCTAAACATAGATACTAATGCACTTTGTTTTAAGTGAACAATATTACTTTTTGAATTTAGCAACATTTTTTTTTTGTGTTCCATTCGCGCCGGTTTACCCTTTGGGCTAATTCAGATTCGGAGATCAGTTGTGGGTGTTTGAGTTCCAGTCCCCTTCCAATTGTTGTTGCGAGGGATCGAACACTGGTCATCCCCACCAAGTGTAGTCTCAATCACCACTACACCAACATCCAATTGGCAACGACATTATATATGTGTCACTTGAGTACAAATATATGTTTTGCTCTACTATAACCACATATGCACAATTAATTGGATTTCCCTATTTTTTTTATCACTTTCATTACGTAATATGTAATAAGTATGATGTATTATTATACTGTATATAATATATGCCTTAGGATATGGTTTATATACAGTATATGTCTAGACTACAAAGAAAGATATGATGGATGTATCAAAAAGATTGTAGTGTGTATGGGTTTTATTTTTTTTTTTATTTTTTTTTTTATATTATGAGTGCTAAAAGTAAAAGTTTATACTTTTTTAAGGTAAGAAGAACAAATATAAAGAAGCCTTCACCATGAGAGGGATAAATAAAGTGTTCATGTATTGATCGTTTTATAGAAAACAATACCTTGGTGGATACGAGAAGGAAGCATATGAACAAAGAGGAAGTTTTCAAAGCCATTGTAATTGGCAATTCAAATGGCTAAGAAAAACTAATTAGAATGAAGGAAGAAGCTAGCTAGGTAAAGGCAAAGGGTTTGGAATTGAGATATGTAAGAGTGTAGAGGAGTGAGCAATTTATAGTGATCGAGTGAACATTATTATTGAATAAGTCAATCAATATTTCACATACAGTAGTCGTTATGCATAAATAATGAAGGGAACCAAGTCTTAAGTTCTCAACATATACGTACTTAATAAAATATGATTGATTGCATATCATCCAAGTAAAGAAGCTCAGATCAAGTCAACCCTTCCTTGGCTTCAACAATAATATTATGGGAATAAATTCTCCCATGCATGCATGCATCGTCCGTTACTACCTGATTTGATTAATTACTTTTCCTCCGTTTTTTTAATTGTCACCGTTTGACTTTTACACTATTCACACAACACGCTTTGACTCGCTTTTGTGATTTAAAGATACGATAAAACATAGTCTTGTGAGATCTTAGCTTGTTTGAATCATTTCAATGTACTTCCTCCATTTTTTTTAGTTGATACCGTTTGACTTTTACACTATTCACACAATACACTTTGACTTGCTTTTGTGGTTTATAGATACGATAAAACATATTTATTTGGGAACTTTTTGAATAGCAAAAATATTTCATTAATTAAAAGTCATACGACTCTACAATATAGATTCGACGTTAACAAATACATTGAATCAAATAAAATTTTCCTTCATAAAAACTACGATCGTCGAGTAGATTTTGCACTGTGGAACATTTTCCGCTTATATCGCTGGAAAATACAGTTTTGTTTAAATCGTTTCGATGTATATTTTATTAATATCCACTTTTTATAATTTTACAATATTGATAATTAGAGATATTAATCGTTAAAAACATGTGTTGGCAAAAGTGATAATAGAAATATGTCAGCTAAAAAAAAGAGGAAGTATATTTTATTAATATCCATTTTTTTTTATAATTTCACAATGCTGATAATTAGATATATTAATCGTTAAAAATGAGCAAATACAAGTTTATCTGCCAGATAAACGAGTTTTTGTTAATCTGATGACAGTTTTGTAAATATATTGAAAAAGCATGGTCATTTATTCAGTACATTTGGTGAGTTGTCCAATTACTGTTTGCAACTTGCTTTTACTATTTGGTGAGGAAATTACACATGTACCCCTCAACTAATACATGAAAAGATGCAGATACCCCTCCACTGATACTTAAAAAGACAATTATACCCCTAGATAAACAAATTTTAGTTAGATGGGGAATTAACTGGGTATAGCTCGTTAAAAATATGTGTTGGCAAACTTGATAATAGATTTGTTTCAACTAAAATAAATTAAGTATTTTCATCCTGGCCTTGAGCTCAATCAAGGAGAAACAATATTAGGTTATTTAGGTTTACATTTGAGCGTATACTTTTATTTTTTAATGAGATTGATCTGAACATGTGTTTCTACAAGAGTAGGCGTCGAAAAATTTGTAGTAAAATTAGAATTCACTTTTATAAGTCTTTACTCAAATTAAAGTAGGGTGTGACTAAAAATGTTATCCATAACAATGATCCGGTGTAATAAACTCGATGAATCTAGACTTTTAATTTACAGATATGCACCGTTTTTATTAACAAAATTTACTTCATTGATCAACAAGTTTTCTCGTTACACGAAAAAAATATATAAAACAAAATATCAAATTTTGGAGCTCTTTCAATCAAATGCCCTATCCTGTCACTCACCTTGTACATACTTATAAATCATAACCGCCTATGATATTAAATAGAATTAATTATAAAACATACTACCTCCGGTCCAAATTACTCGCAACTTTGGGGTATTATTTGTGAGATATAAAATATTCTAAAGTTGCGAGTAATTTGGACCGAAGGTAGTAGTATTATCTCCATTTTATATTATTTACAACAATTGAACATAAAATATACTGTGAGTATAAATGTCTAATCTTTGCAAAATAATATGAAACAGAGTTAGTAAAATAAAAACCAACTTTGCAACCCCCTATGCAGTTTTATTCACATTGCTATGACTCACATGAATCATGATATTTTTATTTTCCAAAGAAATTGCGCAAGCTAAGGAGACTTTAATTTTATTGCAAAAATTCAAAACATGTACTCCGTAGCTTTACTTTCGAAAGGTCCATGTCACTATACGCATGCATGATTTCATAGTTATTATTCACTTGAACTTCGCTTAATTCAACATTTGTCAAAACATTTAACATAATAATAATGCAACAACTAACCTTTTGTCCAAAATTTAAACCTTTTTTTATACACATGCAGGCACATGTTCATGAGTCACGAAGAAACCTGAAGAGCATATAGTCGATATAGATAGAGTACCGGTTCAGCAACAATTGCAAGAGAGACTGATTAAGAAGGTGCCCTCAATTGAATTATGTATTTATGTGGAAAGAGTAACATCCACTACTTTTGTTAAATTGTGACTCGAAATCTAGTAGGGCTGACTTTGAACGCAGATATCTCTCAAACTACAACTAATTTTGAGGTGATTCAAATTGGAGGTGATAGCTTGGTTCAAGAACTTTCCAACGATAAGTCATATGCCCAATCCGATAAGAAACGAGAAAGTTATGACCGTTTTAGCAAAACCTGACGAAGCTGGAAATTTGCAACGAGGCTGCGAGCTATAGCTCTATGCGAGTGAGCTATATCTCAGCCCTATGAGGACTTGTGGCAGGCATGAGCTAGCTGCCGAGCTATAGCTCAGTAGTTAGGTTATTCTAAGATAATTTATGAAATATTTCCAAAAATTATATCTTTTCTATGACGGCTATTTCAGTATACTTGGAGAACAATCTTAGGGTTTTATTAGGGTTTCCTTGTGTTATAAAAGGACCCTTTAGTTGATCAATTAGTTCATACCTTATTGAGTCATTAGATTTAGGACTCCTTGTATTATTCTCTTGTTTCTTTCTCCATTACAGTGAAGAAGCTCTCGAATCCCCCACCCGTGGATGTATATCTATTGTGACCGAACCAAGTAAATCTTCTTTGTTTATCTTCTTTATTATTTTTCTCGTTCTTAATTTCATTGACTTTTCCGCATTAATCAAACACAATTACACCCTTTTTCCTAACAACTTTGTTAAAATAATATTCATTAAGAAAAAAAAAATGAAACAGTACACTAGCATCCGCACAAAGTTTTAAGAGGAATATATGGAGTATAGGCATGATGGTTTTAAATCCAAATACTCCGTATATCCAAATGCATAATCCTTAGCTCTTATAAAAGTCCCGAAGCACCTTACTGTAGCACAAGTTTTGCTTCAAATTTACTGTTCCTTAGGAACAGAGGAATACCGCCTTTGCCCTTTGTCTCCCTTACTGGAGCACCAAAATTTCAGGGGTAGGATTGGCTTTTCAGTTTCCTTCGTTGCTTGGTGTCCATGTGTTTGCTCTCTCTTCTTTCACTTTTCTCTCTCCTCAATTGAAGAGTTCTTCTTCAACTGCTCTAGACTTTCTTCAATCGAATCAGAGCAAAGCAAAGCAAGCTAGCAATCAATCATGCCTTCCACTAATTTGCTTCTCGAAGTACCAATTCGTATGGCTTCAATTCTTTTGTAAGTTTTTCTTCAATGTAAAATATCAAATTAATTGAATTGTCGGATATTCATTTGTTCACCCGAATCTCTTTTCCATTATCAATCTAAAATATCAAATTATGTTGCAGCTTTGTTAATTAGATCTTTCGAGGCTCGAAACTCAAAATTTGTATGTGACCAACTGTTCTGCGAAAGATGTCGGTTTTCCGTCGAAACAGACGATGCCGGTATTTGAGACACCCGATGCTTTGATTAACCAGTGACCGTCGCCTTTCGAATTCGGAAGTTGTTGCCGGAGATGAGTTGGAATCCGCTAATGTTTCCGGCGAAGAATAGGATGGTTGGGTTTTCGATGGTGTTCTAACCCTTATCTTTAATTTACCTTGTTATGAGCATGGATATGGGTGAAATTTTCTGTATTTTTTGCAATTAAATTGATTGTTTTGTTTTATTTTAGTTTAATTAATTGGAATTTGGCATAATTTGATTTCATGATTATTGTTGTTATATTGTCATTAGTTTCTTTAATCAAGCTGTCAAGGGTCAACTCAGGGATTAATCTCTCTAAATTGATTAGTTATAATTTAGTCGTCGGTGTTAGTGATTGGGAAATATTTGTATTAGCTTCCATATCCCTGCTTATTATTTCTTGGGGCTTGCATTATTTTTAACAGGGAAGGAATGAGAAGATAGAGCTTATTATTGATGCCAAGAGGTTTGGTGAACTTTTGATGTCTTCTGGTGTTGTTTTGAACTATAATGTTCATTGGGTCACTTTCCATAGTGGTTATGATTTTGGTTACTTGCTTAAGCTCCTCACTTGTCGCAACCTCCCTGACACCCAGCAGGAGTTCTTTGAGATGATCAAGACCTATTTCCCTACCGTTTATGATATTAAGCACCTCATGAAGTTTTGTAACAGCTTACACGGTGGCTTGAACAAGCTCGCCGAGTTGTTGGAGGTCGAAAGGGTTGGTGTGTGTCACCAGGCAGGTTCTGATAGTTTGCTTACATCTTGTACATTCAGGAAGTTGAAGGACAATTTCTTCAGTGGATCCATGGAGAAATATGCTGGTATTTTGTATGGACTAGGTTTTGATAATGGTCAAAGTGTTCACTGATCAGGAGAACTATCAAACTTAATGTTCAATTTCCATGTACCCATTTTGTGTGCACTTGGTAAAATCAGTTTTATAATCAATTTTTGATTTATAGATGTTGAGCTCCGACATTGCAAGGTATCTTATCACTGCCCTGAAAAGCTTTGAGGAAAGGAAATGATATTGGTTCAAATCTCTTACTCATGCACTAAACTTTAGCACCAATTCTAACTAAGTCTGCTAATGAAGCATGTTCTTCACAGCACTATGAAAACTAATAAAAAATGAACTGAAGAAGATTGAATAAGTCCTGAAGCAAAGTAACAGATAAAGATATTAGTCTAAGTCCTGGCACCAATTCTAACTAAGTCTGCTAATGGAGCATGTTCTTCCTCTTTTTCTCCCTCTCTTCTTCCTTCGTCTTTTGCTCTCTCCTCCTACTGTATCCTTTTTCATGTCATTGAAAAGATATTATATGGTCATGGTTATTAAGATATTTTTTCAATGATATGACATAAATATATATTAGTAAAAAGAGAATATCTTAATAACCACATTAGATAAATGAGAGGAGCTATAGAAAAAAGGAGTGACGAAGAGTGAGGACGAACTGAATTATCAAGATCACAATAGAAGAGTTAAAAGGAGAGAAGAATAGGAGCAAGAGGAGGTAAGAGAGGAGCTGATGATGAGGGAACAAAAGGGTTAGAGGGAGAGAGGGAAAATGTGACGGTAACAATGCGAGAGAAAGAAGGGAAAGAGAGAAGGAGCATTGTCAATCCGAAATGTCACTAGCAAGTAGCAACAGCAAGCTCCATTTTCTTTTTTTTTTTTTTTTTTTAGTTCATTTGGTTGCTTATTTTTCAGAAATTATATGATTTTTTTATGTTAGTATTCTGATTTTTCCTTTTTAAAAGTATAATGTATACCTGTTTTCACTATCTCCTTTTTATTTTCTTTTTCATTTAGTATTCTGATTTTTTATTTAGTTCCTTACTATCCTTTTTAATTGCTTTGATTTCTATGAATTTCCATTGTATGTAATTTATGTTCTCAGTTAAATTTATTGGTCTTAATTTACAAGATTGATTTAATTTTTCTGTTTTTCTAATTTTTTTGTGTTTATTCTGTTTTCTTTGTTTTGGTATTTATGAATTTGCATTGCTTGTGATTTATATTCTCAATTTATTAATTATTGATAATTTTTTGGATTGATTTTATGTTTATTCCTTTTGCTATTAGAATGAAACTCATATGTTGACTTAAACCAGTGTCCTATTATCGACAACAGTTTAATTGCTTTTGCTGGAAATTGTCCGAATTTGAAGTCTTATTAGTTGAAATGTGCCCTGAAATAGGTTTGACAGCATGCAAGCAATTACTCAGGGCTTCCCCAAACTAAAATCAATATAATGATTCTAATTTCTGACTAAGATTCATTATCTTATGTTGTGCAGCAAGTTGAACATAGTAATGTTAGCAAAATGGGGAAGAAAGGAAACTGGTTTTCAGCATGTAAGAGGGTCGTTGCTCATAGCTATAAGGAGAATGTAGCTAATGTAAGTGAATTCTTTCAGATTCGTTATTCATTTTTTTTTCTAGACTCGAAACTTTTTAGTTCAGGCAATCTCTACATTTTATTGTAGAAATAAGGGATTAAATATTTACTCATATCAGATATAATAAAATTATCAAAGCCTAATTGCAACGTCTGGCTTGATACTTGTTCATTGGCTATGTTAAACTGATAGGGAATAGAGAAGAAAAATATAGAAAGGGATCAGAAATCTAAAATTCGAGATGGCCATTCGTTCTTGCCTTTTGTCAAAGACCCAAGTAGCATTGAGAATACTTAGGTGGTTCAAAGGGTGCACCAAGTTACAAAACGTGAGCAACCAAAGGCAGAACCTCCGACTCCACCAGAGCAACCAAAGGGAGAAGAACATTTCTGATGTTATTGCTTTGCTGATGTCATTTTACAATATTTTGTACTTTCTTTCTTTCTTTGCTGATATGATGGTAAAAGGAATTAGAAGCATCAAGTTTATTAAAACCAAACATATTTTTTGTTTATAGGTATTAATAATTATTGGGTATGAAAGTTTGCCTCTGATTTGGATGTATCATTCAACTTTACGTGTCTAGAACAATATTGTAGAAATGTTAAAATTGGGTATTGAAGTAATTTTCTATGCAGTTGTTTTGTTTTATTTTATTTTTTTATTTATTTTTGGCTTTCCCTACATTTCCATTACAAAAATTGCTGCATTTTCATTTACCATGCCTACAATTATAAAGTGCCAGTTACCACAAAAAAAAAAAAAAAAAAAAAAAAAAAAAAAAAAAAAAAACTCACAATTAATTAACTACACTTATAAACAAATCGTTACACATTAAAAATTTAGTGATACCTTGGTACCACGTGCAACGCACGTTTTCATCAATCATGAGAAAGTAAACTACTTAGAAGCACCTTTAAAATTAAAATTCAAAATTATGGTAGAATCAAGTTAGTTTCATGAATACGTGTTTTTATTTTAATTTTACACAACCTTAGTAGTATATAGTTTTAGAGGGGGGGGGGGCGAGGGGAAGGAGAGAGAGCATCTAAGAGAGAGATGCGTCTACAGAAAGGGGGAAGAAGAAAGAACGGTTGATAAAGAGAAAGATCGAGGGCAAGGGAGAATGAGAATGGGTAAGTTAAAAAAGAGAGAAAGAGGGCAGACCAAGAGAGGGATGGGACTTAGAAAAAAGTGAGGGGAAGGGGAGAGGAGACGAAGAAGAGAAAGGGAGAGAAAGAGGCTGGGATACAAAAAGAGAGAGATAGAGGTAAGGGTCTAATTTAAAGAGAAAGATATAAAAGAAATATATACACAGAGGGAGAGAGGGATCGGGATAGAGAATAGAGTGAGATGGAGAGAGATAGGTCGAGGGAGAGAGAAGGGCCAAAAGAAAATGAGAGAAAGAAAAGCCAAAAGAAAGATGGAGATTGAGAGAAACTAGGATAAATAGAGGGGATCGTACGTGGGAGAGAGTGCAAAAAAAAGGCCTCGGGGGAGAAGGAGCAAGTGCAACTTATAATTTTTAAAGCCTTAAAAGGATAGAACTTACGAGCCTGGGACAAGAAGGATCATGTAAAAAAGAAAGAAAGCGAGAGACAACTAAAGAGTTTAAAGGAAAGAACGAGTAATAGGAGAACAGGTGCAAGTGTGCAATCTATAATTTAAATGTCATTATAAAAAAGAGGGAGTAGATAGACAAGATTAAGGGATAAAGGGACAAAGAGAAAAAGAGGTTTCAAGGAAATAGAGGAATGAAGAGATGAGAAACACTTCAAGAGACCATTTTTAGTGCATAATTGTGAAAGAGACTTTGAAAATTAGAAGAGACGGAGGAGGAAATGGAGAAAAAAAAAGATTATGAAATGCATGAGAAAAAAATGGTAAAGGACTTCATCAACGAAGAAGAAAGAGATAGATGCAAAAGTCTTTAGAAAACCATCTTATTAGTATGTAATCAAGGAGTAGTAAATAAGACTTTAGTTTTAAATTTTGTAAAACCATAAAAGTCAATTGTTAAAATATAGAGAATTCATGAGGATTTTTAATTATGTTTGTAAACCCATACTTTAGAGAGAGAGAGAGAGAGAGAGAGAGAGAGAGAGAGAGAGAAGATGGGGAGGAAAGCAGGAGGAGGGGGAGAGAGCAAAAGACGAGGGAAGAAGAGAGGGAGAAAAGGAGGAAGATACATTAGGAGAATAAAATGGAGAGAAAAAGAGTGAGAGAAATAGATAGATAGAGAAAGAAGAGAATGGGAGGGAGAGAGAGAAAGGGACCTAATGAGAGGAAATCAAGAAAAAAATGGTTTGAAAGAGGAGTAATGAATGATAGAGATGACATGTCGAAAGAGAGAGAGGGCATGTCAGGAGAAGAGAGGGCATGCTGAGAAAGGAAAGGGGTTGAGAGAGAGGGAGGGGGCAAGAGAAAATGTGAGAGAAAAAAAGGATGGGAAGGAGATGAGTGAGAGGAGAGAAGGTAAAGGAGCCGGTAAAAGATAGAGAAAGAAAAAAGAGGGATGGCTAGGAGGGTTGGAGAGTACGATGGAATGAAGGAAAGAAAGAGAAATAGGGCCAGGTGATGAGAGAAGAAGGGATTGAAAGAGAAAAAAATAACGCAATAAAGAAAGAAAGTGATCAATAAAGACATTGAGTGATAAAGAGGGAGAAGGATAGAGAGAAGGACCAGGAGAGAACAAAATCAAGAGAGGGACGTTGGAAGAAAATTAGAGATACAAATAATACGAGAGAGAAAAATCAGAGGGATCGCGGGACAAAAGGGGGAAAAAGAAGCAAGTGCAACCTATAATTTTCATAGCTTTTTACAGGATGTAATAAGGATCCAAAGGAATAAAAAAAAAGTGATAGAAAGAATATGAGCCATTAAGGAAGGATTAAGTAAGGGGGGAGCAAGTACGACCTATAATTGTCAAAATCCATTAAAACACATAACAGGGAGCAGGAGGACAAGATTAGGGGGGGGGGAGAGAGAGAGAGAGAGAGAGAGAGAGAGAGAGATAGGGCAATGGAAAAAGGAAGAGGTGAGAAGTATTTCTAGAAACCATTCTTAGTGTTTGATTGTGAATGAGACTTAAAAGCTACGATGGAAGGAAATGGAGAGAAATTAGGAATGTGAAATGAAAAAAACAAAAATCATGAGGGATCGGACTTCTAAGAAAGAGAAATAGATAGATGAAGAATTCTTTAGAGGACCATATATTTAGTATCTAATCAAAGATTTGGTTCATTGTAACTTTTTGAAAAGATTCTAAAACCATACAAATCAAGTGTCGTTAAAATATAAAGAAAAGATGGAAAAGGGTGAGGAGGGTAACTGAGAAGGGGGTGGAAAGTATGGATTAGCTTTGTAATTTACTATATCATTAGATAAGGAAGGTGGGAGAAAGCAAACTAAGGAGAGTGATAATGGTTATTTATGATATCTTTTTACCCCTAAACCTTTTAAAGATATTTGCAATTTATTTCGTTTTCTTTTTACAAAAAAATTAAGTTACAAAGTATCCAAATAAATCTACAGGATATCTTATCCTTAATTTTAACACTTAGATAATTATAGCTAGAAGAATTTTACTTGTTTTAAACGTAAGTTTTTTTGTACCTTTTTTTTTAAAAAAATACCATTGTTGTTTAACAAAAGCCCAAAAAATACTAAATAATTCTTTTATAACTATCATACTATTAAAATGCTAATAGTCAAAACTCAATTTAATAATAATAACAGAAATAAATTTATTATTGTCATTATTAACATAGTTATTATAATTAGAGCATAAGAAACTACAACTTAAATCTTTCCATCAATTTAGTAATAATAATTAATATATGTAATTATGATGAATTAAATTTCACTAATAAACGGGGGACTGCGTACTACTACATTATTAATAATCAAAACACATGATATTATCTAATATATAATTATAACAAAATTAGAAATTGCCAAATTGGGGGATCGCGCACTAATTGTAGAAGAGACACAACCGCCACAAAGGAGATAAATAAGAGAAATCAGGAATGTGAAAATGAAGAAAGAATAAAAGAAGGGGATTCAAGAAAGGAGAAAGAGATGAAAAACACTTTAATTAAAAATAGACTATTTTTTAAGATTACAATCATAATCAAAGAAAGGAAAGAAAAGGGGTCGATCGGGAGAGAGAAAGGGGGAAAGGAAGAGATAGAAAGGCCATGAAAGAAAGAAAGCAAGAAAGGGAGGTCGTAAGAAAGATGGAGATAGAGTGAAGCCGAAAAAGAGAGGGACCGAGGGGAAAAGAGAGGGAGAGAGAGAGAGAGAGAGAGAGAGGGGTCAACGGAAAAAGGAGCAAGTGTGACATATATTTTTCAAAGCTTTTTAGAGGATGGAACATGGATAGGAAAGAATATATAGGAAAGCATGATGAAAGAAAGTGTGAGAGTTTGAGCCAATAAAGGAAGGATTAAGTGAGAAGGGAGCAAGTGCGACCTATAATTTTTAAAATCCATTTTAAAATTAGAATGAGTAGGGGCAAAGCCATGTTTAAGGGGAAGATAACGAGAAAGAGAGAGACTAGGAGATGTTTTAGGGTAATAAAGAAAGGAGAAGATTAGAAACACTAATTCAAAAGACCATTCTTAGTGTTTAATTAACGAAGAGACTTAAAGGCTATGGAAGAGAGAAATGAAGAGGAATTAAGAATGTGAAAGTGAAGAAATAAAAATTGCGAGAGCTTCCGGAAAAGAGAAAGGATAGATGAAAAACTCTATAAATCGAGGACCATCTTTAGTATGTAATCAAGGATTAGGTAAATGGCCCGGTACAATTTTTAAAAGATTCTAAATATTGTAAAACCATATAAGTAAAGTGTGAAAATGTAAAGGAAGATGAAAAAGGGTGAGGATAAGAACTATGAGGAGGGGGGTTATGGAGTATCTATGTAAATTTTGTTGTACCATTAGTTAAGGAAGGAGAAAGGGAACATAGGAGGGAAAGTGATAATGATATGGTTATCTACAAGATCCTTTGCCTCTATACCTATTTACAAATATTTGCAATTTATTTCATTTTCATTTTCCAAAAAGTTAGATTATAAAGTATCCAAAGAAATCTACAAGATGTCTTATTCTTATTGTTAAATAAAACTTAAATTATCATAGCTAGAAATGTTTCCTTTTTTTTAAGGGATTTTTTCTTTAACTTTTTTGATAAACCATTGTTCTTTAACAAAATCCCAAAAAAATAATAAACAATTCTTTTACCCTTATTATTAATTATTAAATCATTATAACTATTAAAATGGTAATAGCCTTTTATAACTCTTTCAAAACAATTTAATAACAATAATAGCGACAACTTTATTATTTCCATAATTAATATAGTTAATATAATTAAAGTATAAGAAACTACAACTTAATCCTTTCAATCACTTTAGTAATACATAACACAATACACATTAATCAACACACCTATATATTACATTAATTAATTTCTTAGCATAACAATCTATTCCATCAAATTTCATCATTGATCAATGCTAACAACTATACCTAACTTCGTTACCAATAAAACAATAGAAATAATCTACGCATATAACATTGACTAATTACACAATAATCATAACAATTGACCCAAATTGGCATCTTCCAAACCGGCAGTCAATTCTAAATTCTGTTGAGGTTTATCTAGCTCATCAGTACAGTTAGTAGAATTCTCAGCAATATTCACATCATGTGCTTTCTGTGTGCCATCCAGTGTAATATTTCCTCCGTTTTCTTTTACTTGCAACACTTCCCTAAAAAGGAAATGTCACAATACTTACAACACACTATAAAAGGAAAGTTACTTTAGGGAAAAAACTATACTATATCCCTTATTTAAAGCACATGGCCTATTAAATTACACTCCTAACAACCACTCATCCTATTTTAAAGTTTATTATATCATGTAAACCTCATCTTTCTTAATTACTGCGCTAAAGGGTGTGTTGCATCTAAAAGAAAACGGAGGAATGAAGTAATAAACAAAGCCATCTTGCTGCCCACACTGGCCTCTATGCTAGCATCATTATTTACTATCGCTAAAATGATCATTAGCCAACTTAAATTTAAGGCTAACCACATATAATAATACACTAACCAATCAGAGCAAAACAAAATCGACAAACAAAACGCAACCAATTACATTAACACATAAACTACGACTAATTATTCACTAATCACCGAGAAGAAATCACAGTATTTAAAAGCAATTACAGTATTTAGAAGTACCCATAAAGCGATGATGAACAATTGTACACTCCTTTCATGCACAAGGAAAGACAACAAATGTGGTTTAGAAATTAGAAATCTTTTGCCCTTGATAATAATATACCCTGCATTTGATGATGGTCAACCTTTCATATCCTAAATGTAAGGCGTCTCATGTGCCCATGGACTACGGACTACGGCATAAGTTATACTGCTGCCACCTCTCTCTATCCAGATTAAAAATGAAAAAAAATCTCACATAAAGTAATACTACCCAGCATATGGTACCTGCAGATCTAAGGGAATCATCAAAAAGAACCGAAAATTAAAAGGTAAAAAAATACAGTATAAGAAAAAAGCTGGTAGCAGCAACATACCAGTAAAATGAACAACATTTGGATTAACACAATAATTACACCACCGTTTTTTACATCTTACACGATTAAATTGCGGTGTATAATGAATTGGAATTTCAACATCAACTTCTGTAAGGTGATAACCCTGCAGTCCTGCACATTATGTACAGTTTCCGAGCCCTTTCTTTACTTAGCTAGCCTGCGGCAACTACATTTTGCAGCAGTGCCTCCAAATCACTCAATCTGCAAGTATGGGACACGTTATATTCATGAGTGTCGAAGAAACTTGTTACACACTCGATTTAATCAGATTTCATACGCACACCCTACCTTACAGAACTCAAGTCAGGGTAAGTTGCAATTGCATCTGTAAAATCCTGCAATGGGGGTCATCATTTAATACGAAGTTAAATCATTTTATTGTACTTGCAGTTAATCAGAAAGACTAATATTCTCCTGTGAGACAGAAAAAATTATCTTTTCAAAATGAGGATTCCATATTTTTTACTTTTAACTAAAGCAACTAACTGACCTGGGTAGCTGTGGATGTTGTGTAGGTTATTACACAGGGCATTCCAGCCTTTGTTGCAGCCTACAAGTAAAGGTAGGTTTATCCTAAGTTAAACTTTTGCGTACCACAGTCAGCAGTGAAAATGAAGGAGCTCTAACATTCTAATGTATTTTCAAAATGCTAAATAGATCCAGAAAATATTAAGTGTTGAGAAACAGCATATCAAGTTTCTAGATACATTTGAACAGCCAGATCAGATGTATATCAAAACAGAGTAATGCAAGTGTCACTCTTTCCTAAGATAATTTGGTCTACTATTCAGATCTCAAATAGTTTGTAATTTTGAACTCCTTTAAAGGAAAGCATATTGAGACTGATCAGTTTGCAAAAAAAAAAAAAAAAAAAAAAAAAAAATAAAAAATAAAAAATAAAAAATTCATGCAAATAATAGAAACCATGTATAGCTCTTAGAGTCTATAGATCTCTATTTGTATTTAAAGTATTGTTGTTAATTTTCAATGCATTGCTGAAGAAATATTGGTTAACAGTAAATATCCATAGCTATTTGGTTTTGTAATTTTGTATTGTAAGAACATTGAGAATTTGAGCATGACTTCTATATTTGTGATTTCAAGCTCCGTCCAATATCTTCCAGTTATTTCACCATAGCTTTAATCAAATTTTATTCTCCCCTGTCTAGGCCATTATCAGGACTTCTAAAATCTATTTAAAATTACAAATTTTAAAAAGAAGAGGCATGGATTCATGGGCACTAAACTGTCAAATTTTCAAACAGGAAGTGTCAAATTCACATATACGAAATCTCCAGGTTTCCAATATTTGTTTGCTTTTAATAGTAATGTGGTATTGTGGTGTACCTTGAGGCCAATGACACTATCTTCCACTACCAAACAGTCGTCCACCGACACACCTAGCTTCTGCAACATTTAGGACCCAAAGATATCATATGATTAATTGAGCCACAGATGAATAAAGCTACAAAGCATGCAACGAATGTAAGTGTGCTAAATTGATCTACCTTGGCAGCAGCAAGATAAATTGATGGATCAGGTTTCTTTTCTTTGACATCATCGCCTGCAATACAGAAAACTGAAATTTCAGACCCTAAGGATAAATTAACAAGACTGCCAGTTTATAATCCTACAGCTCAACATTATCAGTTTGTAATCTGATATCAATATTCAAAAATGTGACAAATATTCAACAAACCTGCAAGAAAGCAATCAAGACCATGGAAGCGATCCTGTGAATAGAGAAAAGTAAGTTGAGCAGATTGGACAGGAACTGATAGCTTCTTTTTCAAATGAGAGAATGAACTTACTAGTCCTATTAGACTCTCAAGAGTGAGTATAACTGAACTTTTGGTTGCAGCAGAGCACACAGCTAGCTTCTTACCCTGCAAACGTGAAACCAAATGGCCCAGCACATCCATGAAACACAATAGCATAGTCATTCCAAGAAGAAAAGGCATTACAGAGTATGTCATAAGAAAAATATGAATCAGATACATCTAGACGATCTAGTTGTAAGGACTGGCAACATGATTTAAGTCACAATTCAAGAAATGTAATACACCCATGTACATACATTGCTGTATTAGTAGAGTATATTAAAATTTTAACTTACAGCAGCCTTAGCTTCATCCATCAATCTCAAAACTCCAGGTCTCGGTTGCACCTGATAGAAAATAGTAGTTTTATTTGAGGGCAATAATCTAGTCTTCAATGAAATGGAGAAAAAAGATAGCACAGATAATTATTTATAAGAAGAAAAAGACTTACAGAACCAGACTTGATAATTTCTTGGTACCTTTCTGTTTTCCAATCCTACAAAACTATAAGCAGAATCAGCAAGGCTCCCTGGTCTTAGTAATCCTAATCAGTAAAATCCAAACAGGTCAACATGAATACAAGTACATGATATTGATGACCTACTATACCAGCTAGTAATTGAGAAAATCACTGTACTAAAAGGAGCAACACTATATAGATAATACAAGAACCTGAATGATATCTATCAATTTTGATCTATCAGTATCATTTTCTGGAGGTGTCTCAAAAATCGTCGAAGTTGGCCACCCGTGCTCCTTGAAGTACCTTGCAGTTGATTTCTGAACAATCAGTGAAGCAACATGAAAACAACTTACTGTCCTAAATGACAGGCAGGACAACATATACCTTGTTATGAATGAATATCTACTAATCATACTGGTTGACCATAAAAACCAAAACAAGATTTACAAAATAAAATAAAAAATTAAAAAAAAAAAAAAAAAAACAGTATAAAGGATAGGGTGCATGCTAAGATATAATCACTCATACAGTAACAGAACATACATAAAAAGTTAAGAAAGAGACGACAAAATTAAAGGCACAAAGTTTTTATGTAGTTCAGCATCGAGAAACAGCACTAACAATACTAGCTATTAGCAGCAATATTAATCACCTTCCACAATTTTTTGATTCACTTAGCTACCGATCTGTCAGATAAAACTTTCACCAATTCACCTTAAAGCTCTACTCTTGCCATCATCTTTCATTTGATTGCCAATAAAAACAGTTAAATAGCAAGTATAAAATTGCAAAATAAAACTGAATTTCACAAAAAAAGAGAAAATTGAATGTGATTTGCTCGAAGATGAGGATACTGTACAGAAGTCAAAATCCTCAAATTTTGCAATATAATGTTATTGGCTTTACCTCAACCAAAACATAAAATTTTCTAGAAGAATTACTCTGTAGCATACACTATAACATCAATGCTAAGTTTTAGAAAACTTCCAAATTTGCATTGCAACCACCAACATTAAGGTTTTGAACAAAGAGAAGCCATCCAAAATTACACTATGAAATTGCAAGAATTCCACCGTAATTGAATGGATATGGCCTTAATCCTACAAAGAGAAATTATGGTCCTTGGCCCTATCTCTAAATTCCAAACCATAGTCGATACCTTTTTTTCGTATGGTCTCAATCTGAATTTAGTTGTCACGTTACTACTTTATTAGAACTCGATTTTAATTCTGAACCGAGGGAGTATGTATGTAGACAACTAGACTATCATTAAAAATTTGTATAAGTTCAACAATTATGGCGATTCCTCTAAAGCCTAAACAATACGTAGAAACCCCAATACTTTTTCTACTCTCTAAATCTTAATTTAGTTGCCACATTACTGGTTCAATCTACGCTATCAACCCGACTACGAATATTAATTCCGAACAAAGGGAACACTTACCCGCTCTATCATTAATCAGTAGAGTAATTTCAAACTTTCAAGTAATCAGTCAATTGCATAGATTATATAACACGTATGATTAAAATTCAGAAAATAAAAGATTGAAGAATACAAAATAGAAAAATACCAACGCATTTTAGGTTTTCCACCACCAATTTGATTCTGAAGAACATCATAAAACTCGATATCCCAATCAAGAGGTCCATCCAAAGAAGAAGAAGGGCAACGAACATTGAAGAAAGCGAAAGCATCGTTATAAGCTTGACGATGCAAGTCCTCAGACTCTAAGATTACACCATCGCAATCAAAAATCAATGCTACCAAAGAATTTGCAGATGCTTTAACAACTGATGATGATGATGATTTTGAAATGGTGCGGTTTTTAGGGTTTCTAGGGCGAAGTGGAAGAGAGAGTTGGAAGCCATTAGAGCGAGAGATGAATGCGGCGGAGGAGAGCGGCGGCGAGGAGAGAAGAAGGCGGTGATGGTGGTGGGAGTTTGGAAGCGTGTGAAATTGGGCCGCCATTGAAGATGAAGCGCTCAACGCCATCCTAATCTTTTTTTTCAATTGCACACTCAAAATGGAGGGAGTATATTGGATAAGGGTTTTTTCTTTATTTGTTTTTTTTTCGTTGCCGCCGATTTTTTTCGCTCATCGTTTACAAAATTCACACAAATGTATTTTCGAACCTATTTGGACAACAGTAAAATTGGATGGATTGAAATAATTAAGGGTATTTTCAGTTGAAATTTAGTTTAGTTCAATTCCTAATTTCCTTCTCTTATAAAATATTCAGCTCAGTTCAATTCAGTTCCGCTGAGTTCAGTCAATGAGAACAGGCCCTAAGTTTCAAACGAGCCATATTTTTGTAAATCGTCTTGTTTTAGTAGACTTGTTATTAGAGAAAGACCTCTTAATGAAGCAGTGGCCCATAGGTTGCTTCGAATTCTTGAAGTACGAAGTTCGATTCTCATCAAGCACAAATCTCATCCCCTACCCTTCCAGGCATTGCCCGCATTGGTAGTCAAGCTTGCTGTGATAGGAGCCTTTGGATGGGCCCAATAAAGTATATGAATAAAAATAATGCAAAAGTCACGATTATTACGAAACGGATAGAGTATTATGTGCGGCATGTGATGACTCACTTGCGTGCCTCACATATCATGTATTCATGTGTTGGCCTTGTGGTTACTCTCTTCATCCCTATTATGTCTCGTTGCTAAAATTTGAGTTAAACTTTAAGAACTTTTACCATGAATTCTTGTTATTCTATAAAAGGTAATAGAATAACAACTCCTAGTCACGTGGAATTTTGCTCTGTTTGTCTCATTGTATTTTTAATTAATATCAACTTTTTATAATTTATACGTGTATGAAATTGAAGATATAATATTTTAATAATGTGTCTTAAAATCCAATTATATGTCTAGGAGTACTAATCATTCAATAAATAAGTAAAATAACTCTAGAATCTAGATGCCTTTTATAAATAAGGAATATGTCATAAATAAGTAAAATAAATCTAGAATCTAGATGCCTTTTATATGTCTAGGAGTACTCATCATTCAATTGAATTTTACACAAGAATCACAAGTATAGTATATCATGTGCACCACTTATTTATGAAGATGAAGTCTATTGTGCATTAAGTTCACAATTTCAATCATGTTAAGATTTTTAGTCAATTCAACGACTAATAGTATTATCACGATTCACAAAGCATATATGCAAAACCCCACAAACCAAAAGTCATCACCTATCTTAAGATGAAAGCAATACTCGTACAATATAGCCTAATGAATTTAATTATTGAAAAAAAAAAGTACATACATGAATTTCGATGAAATATAGTGCGTACGTAGCAAGTGTGGCAAAAAAGATTGGACCAAAAGTAACTCGGAGAACTTGAGTGTTGAACACAAATCACAATGTTTATGTATGTTGAAAAATGTCATAAATGCATGTCAACTACCAGAGTCAAATAAAAACAAGAAGTTTGATGCAATTGTTTGAAGTATCACAATCATATCAATAACTTCTTCAACTGATTAATTTTTGCAGATGATTCAGCATTCACGCCTGCCAAATTATTGCTGGCCTCACCAAGTCTTCTAAATTACGATTTTACGAATCAATGAATACACTTCTTCATACTAGCTTAGTCATTCTATTCTATGGTTGTAATATTGATTCAGAGTACCACTATATATATACAGTAAAAATAAGTTACTCCGTATATGTAGTCATAATAAAGTACTGCAATTATGATTTTTATTCATCATGCTTCTTTTGTTTCTTTGTTATCCGTAATAGTTCTTGGCTGCCACCATTTGTTTGTTTTTTGAACGTATTATCTTTAATAACTACTCGTATTATTACAAAGTATGTAGTATATATTTTGTCTTAATAAAAAAAGACGTAGTATATACTTGTAGTATTGATTGATCATTCGTTCATATATAGTACGTGAAACACGTTAGTATAATATATGTATGACCCCTTAACGTGTGGCCTAGTCTATTCTGCTAATTAAATGAGCATCCTGAATTAAATTGAGTTCACTCCTACCCAGGACATATAGGAGATGTTCATCTTAGTGGCCCTGAAGATGATGGCTCTTAGACCCTAAAGTGAAATTCAAACCTTCACTATTTATTCAGAAAAATGAATATTTAATCAGTGTATATAACATGTTTGTCTTACATAACTAAATGGAGACAAAGCCTTTATGAGCCTCAATGAAGATCTCCCGGGTCATACATCTCAAATTAGACTACACGCATACTAGACTAGAAAAGTCATTAGTTAAACAAACTAAATCTAAATTATTAAATGTAGCCCGTCATATATTGTGTCAATCCAAATCTGTACCCAGGCCATGCCAGTTAAAAACGGAAACAAAGGATGCTTGCAACATAGCAACTCGACCCTTAGCCGGAAAAAATGCCTGACAAAGGCAACACAAATATATTAGGCTAGGTCGGACCATGCATGATCAACTCTAGTTACGAGCACACATTACACTAGTCAAATTAGGAACAGTGTGTGGGCATGATGCAGGAAGGAAGAACCGAGGAGGAAGCGCAAATGCTGAAATGGTGATGGTGATGACACATTCATCAAGCCTCACATGACACCAAAAGCTTCGATTCTGCAAATCCCAAGGGCGTGAATACTACGTACAAAAATTAACCATCTTTCATGTTTGTTGTCGTCCTGAGTTCTGACTGCTGTATCACTTTTACTTAATCAAGAAACTCAATTTTTTAACTTTTTTTGAAAGAATTTTTAACACTTGTATAAATTTATTTAGGAACAGTGATTGTTTTGCACTCTTTAAGTGAATTTATCTTTCTTTCATTTTCTTTACTGAAAGGAATCTAAGCAAAAGCTTTGATTTTCAACTGCTGGACTCTCTAACTTCTACTTCAGTACTTGTTTTATTTATCTGATGCCACAAGAGAATATGACTTGATATTGACAAGAAGTTGTCTATACTAAACATGCAAGAATATAACATGGGAAGAAATGTTATAAAGAATCCTAACTTAAATTATCTACTTAAGTTATGTTATCATCATCTGAAATTAAAAGTCACATTTTTATTTTCTGAAAATACATTCATACTTTAGTAATTTTAGTACAATACGGATGAATGAACAAGGTGAAAAAATCATTATTAGGACAATTAAACACATGAAAACATAATTTATACTCCTATTCTACTATCCAAATTATAATAATGCAACTTTTCTCCAAGATTAATCTTTTACCATTGCATTGCTTTCTTTCTTATTTATTCGTACATGTATGTTTACTCGTAGAGTCAGATCATTCTAAATTACTCGTAATAAGAACATTATTGTATACAAAAGTGTGTACATACTCGTAACACAAATAATCTACAAATAACTTCACTCCAAAAATCTAAATTACTTTCACACATGTATTGTCCAAACCCTAATCTTCAATCAAGGATCATGATTCATTGAAGATTTAAATAATAGGCAAACTTAAGTACAAATAAAGGAACAGTTTTGACCAATACAATATATTAAACATGTTAATTATTATGAAACTAATGTAATACCATTTAACAGTTTTGACCAATACAATATATTAAACATATTCGCACTTTTTAATGAAATCAAGAACATAACCATTTAAAAAGAAGGAAGTATGCTGTATACATACCAACAACATTATTAAACAGGATGATGATATACCAAGTATATACAATCAAAACCAAATTAAAGTCTCACTTTTGTACAAAATCATGCATACCCTAAATCTAAACCTATGCTTGTCTTCAAAATCTAAATAGACTATTTTTATGAAGTCCATTTACACAAGCTAAGTACCCCTACCAACTAAACCACTAATAAATTAACATCCAAAAAAAATGAACAAGAAAAGTGTTACTGGTACAAAAGTTAAGCATTGGTGTTAATGTTGTAATTTATGTACTAATCTAATGATTGCATGTAATAATTAATTAAAATTAAGGGTTATAAAAATTGTTTCTACAACGGCACTTCCAACCCAAAGGCTTGTAATTGGAGTACCTGTTGTTATCCCAATAAGACAACTCCAACTCAGAACTCGGCGGTTGACTCGTTCGAGGTGGTTCGACTCGGTCAAGACTCGGCAATGTTGGTACTTGGACCGCCTTACAAGGGTGGCACTGATTACACTTGTTGTAGCAACTTGGTGGTGTTGAACCTAATCTCGTTTTCTCTTCACATAATACCCCCTGTTCATTATTCAATCATGTCACATATATTATTACATTATACACATAAAAACCATATAATAGTATAATAAAACAGGTAGAGTAAAAAGTGGAATTACAAAATTACCCTTGTTTGATCAGAGGCAGAAACAGGGGAAGAAAACAGGGGAATAGTGAAGATTAAGAGGATGTAATAATAGTAGAGGAAGGATGAATAATTGAAGGCCATTAAAGAATCTGGGTTTTGAAGAATTCACCATGAAACATTCAACCCAGTTAAAAAATATGAAAAATTTGATGGTAAAAAAAGGAAGAAGCAGATGAAATAAAAGGAGGTATGTAATGATGGGGGTAGTAGTACACTAGTACTCAGTAATAATGAATGAAGGAAGGAAGGAAGGAAGGAATGGGAAAGAAGAAGTGAAAAAGAATGGGGGTTGAAAGGAATGGTCTGGCCTTAATGAGGACTACTGAATGTGGGGAGAAGAGAGAGAAAGAGAGCAATGAAAGGAACAAGACGAGTGTAGGGAAACAATATCACAGGGAATCCTCTCAGAGGGTTTTGGGGCCTTTCATTGTGTCATTTTTAAAGGTTTTCTAAATTTTATTTTTGACTTTGGGGAAGATTTTGGGAGTGAAATGTTTAAAGTTGTGCATTTGTAAGTGTGACGGAGAAGTGATTTGATTGTTGAATCAAAATCGTATGTTGTGGAGAATTGGAGATCCTACTACATTTTGTGTGTGGCCGTGTGGGCGTAGATTATATATGCATAATGTTAGAAAAAAAAAAGTGGACCGAATAAAAGGATATAAAGTGAATTTCAAAATTTTGGATACATGTAGATGTACTTATAAAGAAAAAGGACACATGTGATTTTATAAAAAAGAATATGTATTTGTAATTTTCATGAAAAGAATATACTCCGTACTAAATTATGGTTAAAAATAACCGTAGAGATTTAAATGTGTAATGAAATAGTACCGATTGACATGCAACTTGGTGTAAGATTGCTCAATAATCAATGAGGTTGTACCATAATAGTTGCACCATAAGTCCATAACCAATTAACCATGCAACATCTATCCTAGTTTAAAGATTGGTAATTGGTATACTACTAAAAAGAAATAACTTTGACTATATTTTAATACAGGAGAATTAGTGATATACTGTAGTAAGAAAGGCAAAAGAAATCTTGAGGTGTTTGTCTATTACTCCGTATATACGAAGTAGTAACTATCGTGTACAATTTATTTTAACAGTTTACAAAAACAAAAACAAAAACCCAAAAACAAAAGGGGGAGAAAGAAAAGGTACAATTGCCCAAAGAAACCAAAAAAAGTAGAAGCTGAAATAAGAAGCAGCCAAAAATAAGTAAAGTTCTTAAAAGTCTCATATTTATTGTAACAAGTAACAACAACAAACACAATATCACATACACTCTCTAATCTCTATCTCTTTGTTTGTATGTTTTAATGGAAGATGATTTTATGAAACAGAATATAAGAAGCTTGACTGGGACTGATTGAAATGAATGAATTCACTTGATGCAATGACAATTTTGGGTCTTGAAACTAGTACGACGAACAACCTATCATTTATGTTCTTTGTCAATATAAATGCATGATTGATGTCTACATTGGTTATGTCTCTTAATAAAACATGCATTTGCCAAGTGGTTATGAATTATGATAGAGTTTGGATTAAGTTTATCTCAAGTGTTTTTGGCAATAATCACCCGGGACCATTCATCCCTCACCTACCAAACATTATAAACTTAACATACAATAATAATCACTTGGCCTTTGCCTAACCATTTTGTGATTTTTTGGGGGTTGGGAGCTAGGCTAGATGGCTAGTGGTGGTCAACAATAGAGATGTCTTTGTATCTAGTCATCTGGTATCACTACTCGACCAAAACACGACACAGTATGTTATTATGCTTATTAACTATGGATCACATTATTTTCAAAAAACATAATATATATACACTACAAAATATGTTAATTTAAGTAAAATTTTACTTCCCTTAAAAAGGTGAAATTTTATTAAGACACATGAGTGACACATGGATTTGGGCCACCCATTTTAAAATTTTAATACTACACATAGTCAATGGGCTTAGCTATGGATCTAGCCTAACTAGAGTATAGGCTAATGAACCTACACAAGATGCAACTTACAACAGTATTTCTTTTTTTTTTTTTTTTTTTTAAAAAAGTCCTAAAGTACACTAAATTTCATTAATGTAAGTCATACGACATCTACAATTGACAATGAACGATAATGAAAACGAATTTAACAAAATCAAACAAGAATTAATCGGGGAAGGGCTAAGAATCCAAATACATAAATATAACAATTCGGCATATTCTCGATTCGTTGTCTCATACAACTTTTTGAGTGGATCCGTCGTCGATTCGCAATTTTGTGAGAAAGTAAATTCTTGTGTTGATTCCGTAACCCGAATCCGAGCCACAATCAATAGTAGCCCCGCACAACCGGAGACCAAATTAAGCACAAATAAAACCTTGTCTTTCGAAGGAGTACGAAAAACCTTGTCTTTCGAAGGATATCGAAAAAACCTTGTGTTTCGAAGGAGATAAACCCTTTCTTTCGAGGGAGACATTATTGTAACCTAAAACAAATTAAAAAGCTTAAAGAAAATAAAGATTGGGGCTTTCCACCGGTAAAATCCGATGGAAGCCCCTTAAAATTAATAATGGAGACTAGGTTTAGGAGAGAGAAGAGAGAAAAGGAGGCTAGGGTTTTTTTAGAGTTACAACAATCTTTCTTCTTTAGCTGGAATTGTTGATCTAATCTTTAGTACCGTGATATGAACTTATTAGCCTTTTACTTAATTATTTTTAGTATTGTAGATTTTTAAATTCTAATCTGAACTTTAATTTTATTTTAATATATACAATTAAATTGAAAATAAGATGAATAATACAAGAGTCTTTTGATATGTTTAGTTCATCATAATTTAACATCATTTTGACTTCTTTTAGATAAAATAAGTTTAGCTTATGTTATATTCACTTTTTTTTCACTTAATTTACGTCTCATAAGTTCAGATAAGATAACTTCAGAAAATAAGCTCTCATAAAAATTACACAAGCTCAAATAATAACTAAATAAATTTTAACAAGATCTAACAAGCTCAAATAAATAAAATCGGGTGAATAAATTCACCCGATTGACAAATAAGTTTAGATAATTTCAGCTTCAAAATAGGTTTACACACAAATTAATAAGATCAACTAAAGTTGGTAAGACACTAACACTACATTGTAAATTGTAATCATCCAAAACAATGGATTAGCTTAGACTTATCAAAAATTGTGAATGGACTACTTTAAGAGGTGATAATAGACAAGTAGAGAGCTACAAGTGGATAACATGCACACAGTTATCATCGGGCCCGGGCTTCTCAATTGGGTTACGCAACATTTGATAGGCCAACTAAAGTTACTACTATACCGCTCTTTTTTTTTCTTTCTTTTTTTTTTTCAGCAATTCCCAAAATTTTCGGTAATTTTTAACTACTTCTAACGAGTGATCCCCTTCTCTGTTTTCTCTCTCTTATTTTATCAAACCCAATTTACAAATTTGATCATCTACTTCATAATTCAGGTATAATTCAATTCTTCTATTTGATTCAATCTTATTACATGCACTTTTAAAAGTATGTATATTAATTCTTTCTGATCATAACTTCCCTTCTTGATTTTAATTTTATTGCCTATTTAATGATTTTTTAATTGTTGTCATTTCTAAATTTCCATTGATTTTTTTTTTCTTCCCGGATTTGTATAAATTTAGAAGAAAAGATCCCATTTTTATATCTGTGATAACTAAAATTCACAAATCATTATTCTGTTTTGTATTGATGGTTTAATTCCATGTTTGTTAAAGTTCTTATCTTTGCTTTTTATTGAACATACCCATTTCAATAATCTGTAAAGGGGTCAAATGAAATTTGCTCTTTTTCACTTTTTGTGATAAAATGATTCATGAAATCAAATGAATAAATTGCATTAAATTGTTACTGATCATATCATGACAATAAATATTTTGTTATGGTGATAAATGTCAAAGATATACTTTAATATAAGATTGATTTTGTGATACTGTTATAAATCCCATTAATTCCTTCAAATATATATGTTTCAAAAATTTCAATTTATTTGTTGGCAGGAAGGATAAAATGGAAGATGATGACCCTAATGTTAGGCCATGGGATGAACTAATTCCAGACACATTAGGTTTGATATTCCAAAGGTTACCACTTGATGAGATATTGAATGTAGTCCCAAGTGTGTGCAAATCATGGGCAAAGGCGGTACGAGGCCCTTATTGTTGGCAGGAGATCGATATCGAGGACTGGAGTCGATATCGAAGGCCTGATAGCCTTGATCGGATCCTTTTGTTGCTGATTGGAAGGAGCTGTGGCTCGTTGCGTAAGCTTTGTGTTTATGGTTTGGCATCCGAAATGAGTTTATCCTTAATTGCTGATAAGTAAGAGGACATATTTTTCTATTTCCATTAAATTATACTGAATTACTACTGATCAAAGTTCTATTTTTATGTCTTTAGCATAGGTTTAATTTATTTTCCTTTGATTGGTATGGAAATTGATTTAGACTAGATTATTTTATTCCCATGTCTTATTGAGGACAAAGATTGTGATAAGCGACTTTTGTTCATTTGTTACTTGGAATTGTGATGGATTTCACATACTTAAACATATGCAATGAGGAAGTTCTAGCTTAGATGCATGAGAAGTGATGAGGAATTCCGATCCTAGTTGATCTAGAATAGAATTGTCAATCTTGTTTTTTGGTGGTACATTGGACGTGTGAGGTAGTACTTTGAAGATTTGTACGTGGTTGGCACATGGTTTTCGTTTTACATTTGATTGTTGGGGTGGTATAACTAGGTCATTTCTGTTGTTTTTTTTCCTGATTATGGTCTGTTTGTGCTGTGTGGTTAGAAAGTGGGAGAACTTTTAATATCCGAATTATGCATGGTCCTTTGCTTGTTTGGATCTAGCTTTGAGCTGCTGAAACTTGAAATTAATCGCTATTAGAAGAGGGGGGGGGGGGGGTGGGGGGGTTTAATGTTTTCTCTTTTCGGATTCTTTGTAGTTTGTAACTTGATAGAAGAAAAATAATTTAGCTTGATAAATGATATATAATGTGTCATATACTAGATTACTAGTACTATATATCCTATACTCAAAATAAAATGTGTGCTATGAAATTCAACAAAATTGAATGATCTGAATACTAGATTACTAGTACTACATACTTTCAAGTTTTCTGCTTTCTAATCTCAATTTTTATGTATTGCAAGTGCCAAGTGCCTTCAGATTCTACGGCTTCCAGGAAGTGAAATAAGTGGCTCGATGGTGGAACAAGTTGCTGTGAAGCTTTCTAGCCTCACTTGCTTAGATTTGAGCTACTGCACCAAAATTGGAGCTCCAGCTCTAGAGGCATTTGGAAAGAACTGCAAACTCCTTACTTGCTTGCAGAGGAACATGCATCCTTGGGATGTAGCCGCAATAATGAAAGATGACGAAGCATATGCTATATCTGCTACTATGCCACAGCTCAAGCACCTAGAGCTGGCCTACCTGAATATCACAACAGATGGTGCTGTTCGGATCCTCAAAAGCTGTCGTGAGCTTGAGTTGCTTGATATTAGAGGTTGTTGGAGCGTGAAAATTAATGAAAAGTACCTCAAGGATCGCTCAAAGTTGCAGGTAGTAGGACCTCTGGTTGTGGATGGCAGTGGTAAGGTGAAGGAGAGTGTTGATTTCTACCCTGGTTCCTCCAGCTTCTGGGCCTGGGGTTTTGGCGAGATGGATGAGTATGATGAAGATGGTGATCAGGATGGTATGTGTGATGTGTCTTTTGCTCCCTGGGACGATGTGCATGAGATGGAGGACTTAGGGTTGGTGTCCTACGACGATGTGTACGGCTATTACTAAAATTAAACCAAATGGAGTCTGCAGTATTTTTTTCATGTATGCATTTCATTTTCCACAAAGATGAGAGGCTACGCGAGCATTTGGTCTCTCGAAGAATGATATGGATTTTCTTATTCCTAAATCTATTTGAGAATGTTGAGATGTATCTGCCAAAAAAAAAAGAGAGAGAATGTTGAGATGTATTTTTAAGTTGATTAGTTGGCTGCCTAGTTTACCAGATGGATTGTAGATTGATCTAGACCTCTTAGACGTAGTACTACAGTTCAGAATGAACTCTAGCTCTAGTTAAAGCTTGTTTTATGCAGGTAATGGTATTGGCATTTGACAATGAATTGAACGAAATTTGTCTTAGGATGTTGCTTTTTTTTTTTTTCCCTTCTTTTGATGTATGTTATAATCTGATACCTCATATTCAGATTCATCACATTTTGAAGGGCATGGCCTGTAATTTATCCGAAGTTATCTCAACTTAAACTCGACTTGAATCGTTAGAGCTTACCTATAAATGACTTGAAAGCTTGCCTTATTCATATGGATCTTTAGAAGTAGAAGAAATTTTATAAAAGTGATACATTGCAACACTATAGTATCCCAACAACATCAAATTAAACACTAGAAAAAACTCCATTAAGTAAACAACTTTTGATAAACACAACACCGTATAATCACTGTAAACAAACTTGTGACTTCCTGGAGATTTACCAGGCCAAAATTTAAAAGTCAAAGGCCAAACTCAGCATATTATCACAGTAACTACTAACTCTATTTACACAATGTAGTCAGTCATAGTACTTCATGTAATAGGTCAATTATCATGTCCCACACACTGATTTGTGTGATACACAAATCATGTTACATATGATTTACACTATAAATACCGCGCCACGAATCTTACCTAATACACTGCAAAATCTACACTGACGTTACAAAAAGTTAAGCTACTGATTACACAACGAGATGATCCCCAAATGGCTGATAGGATTGTCTTATAGGAATGTTGATGGTTACCTCAAGCAAGCAACTTCATGACAGTGTTCAGCCTAACATCCTCAAGCAAGCAATAATGCAGAGTTACAGCGTTTTCATCAGCATCATCATTTCAGCCATGGGAAATACAGACACAACAACATTCCCAGGGAAGCTATGCGTCAATTTCCAAAACAGCTGGAGTTACTGTCAATCAGTAGCATCCAAGAGCAGTAATTAAGAAGAATCTTGCATGCTAGATCTATATAGCTCCTCGTCCACTATAAGAGGTGGTATAGTCCATGATCCAAGAGAATATCCAGAAATCTTCCCACCTGAATCACCAGACAAAATACCTCAACGACAAAAAAAATTTGGCAGGAAGAAAAGTATACAAATTTCTGTCATCCTGAGATAATAATAATAACACCCAGAAAACAATTCTACCTTCTCTGGTGGCTTCTTCACATCTTTTTTGGTAGCTTGCATAAAGCTTGGGATCCAAAGCTTTTGACAGCTTCTCGTACTTCTCTTCAGCCTCAGCTATACTTTTAGCCTAAGAAGTCAGATATCCATATTTCCAAACAGATGATCACAGATAAGCATCAGAGCTCAAACTAATTTAATCATTTGTACTGAAACAACCAGACAACCCCCCCCCCCCAACAAACAAACAAAAATAAATAATAATTTAATATTGAATTCACAAGAACCTATGAAATATTATCTAGATGAGCCATATGACAGTGAAGACACTGCAATCCTTAAAAATCACTAGACTTTTATCAATTTTTACATAATTTTTGAATTAATTATGGTATCAGCTTAAGCAGCAGGACTTGGGCTTTGTTATTTTCACCAGACAGACCATTATTTGAACTTACATGAAATTATAGATCTTACCTAATGTTTTTGGTCCATCGAAGTTATATTAAGTAGAAAAAGCAAAGTCTTAACTCTATTATGTGCGCCAACATTATGGCACAACTCACCAGCATGGTTGGGGCTACAGAAGCGCCATATATTCTAACAAACATGCGCAATATATTGAAATTATTCTCCAGCACATCCTCCTGGACAAAAAACCACATGTTAAGAACAGGAAACCTTGAAGCAGAAATTATATTTTCAAAAGACTTTGCTTGTAAGCTGACCTCATAGTCGAACCTGATGCATCATAATTCCAAATCCATCAGTAGATAATGTTAATCAAACAGCATGTAAAGGTTTTTCCATTACAGACATCATCATAAAGATGTATAAAAAATATAAAAGGTAAGTTACTTACAGATCATCGGATACCTCCACTAGAAATTCAGAGATAGTCAAGAATTCCATATGAAGATCATTAACCTTCATTGAAATTGAAAATAGAAATTATCAGCCTCAGAGCAGTGAAGACCCATTGTGAATACACTTCAAAAAGCAAAGTGAAACAAGACACATTGGGTGACACATCTTTGGAAAATCTACTCTCCATTAAACAGGGAGGGAAAGTAGTCAATAAACAAGAAATCAGTAGTTTGCAGAAGCACATTGTTTTGGACCTCCAATAAGAATATATTATAGTGCACCGTTCACAAGCAGTTTCCAGCAAGCATGCAAAGTTCACGTCATAAAAGCAGTTATCAGCACACAAAGATAGTCTAGAGTATGGAGACTACTTATTATGACCATCCAAGAGAGCATTTAAGATGCAGAACGACAAATACTAATTACTGATTATAAAAACTAAAAATGTATAAAAATGAAACTAATTACATTTAAAAATAAATTTAAAAGTAAGCCACATCACAGAAAAAACATGTAAAATAGACCGGAAACAAGCAGTCAGCAATGCAGAGGAGACGAAGCACGCAAACTAGCAAAACATGCAAAAGGGCCAGAAACCACTAAAACTCGAATAGAGTTTGGCGGCCTGGTTGGAAATTTGAAATGAGAGGCAAAATTTAGCTACAGTAGTTGCAAGAATCCTAAACCCCACAAAGTCATATAAACAAAAAGACACCTTCATTGAACCAAATAACACCATCTTCGATTTCCTTCCCCTAGAAAGATTCTCCACTTAATGAAGTGCAAGGAGGAATATGAGATAAACACCTTGCAAAGGAAGGAAATACCTCTTCTCCCTGCAGCTGATACAAAAGAAGATTCAAAACCCGATAATCAAAAGATTTGAGTTGAATAGCCCTCAATGCATCTTCGATTGAAATCTGAAAATAAATTTAAGTCAATAACAACGCATATATTTGGCAAATTAAATATTTACAAACTTCTAAAGAATTAAATGCAGTCAGTAAAAAAATTGCACTGATGAATCCTCATCCCAATGGATATATGAACAATGAGTGATACATCCACACTCAATTCACAAGGGGAAAAGTCTACTTAGTAAATGTTCTTCAATAAACAAGACACTCTCATCTTCAATCACCATACACAAACAGACAGTTACAAATTTGATTTCAAGATTTATCAACGATGAGGAACTTGAATCGGAGCAAAAAACAATTGACAAGTACATTTACAGTTTAATATTTATACAAGGTGAAAATCTGGAAGCAAATATACAAGGTAACATTTTTAAACCTCATCTTGTTCTGAAGCACCACAAAGCCTCCTTTCTAAAGCCCAGTATTCCTCTCCATTTTTCAGTTCTTCTCTAATTCTGCATGCTTGAAAAAGTAGAAAGTTGTTTAGGATGTTTTCTAAACAATAAAAAATAGTCAACGTTGACATGTAACAAATGCGATAAGTTAAACCTCTTTGTCAGCAGCCCATTACACTGAAGTAGAACCGTAAGTGGCCGGATTGTATCTGACTCAAAATCTTTATTAAACCTGCACGCCAAGGTAGAATATGCTTCCTGGATACAAACAAGACTCAGAAAAACACCTCAGCCTCATATAAACATGTCCAAGAAGAATCTATAAAAGCAAGATATGTTCAGCTTACTTTATCAAATCTTCCATCTCGAACAGCCACTTTGCTTACAGTAAAATCGACCATCTTCTCATTCAAAGTGTCCAACTGTTCAACAAAAGACATCTTAAAGGCTAAAATCCAGACTGAGATAGTAATCATCATACTTAACATCTTAGCACCCGTCGTTACTAGAGTTGTCAAAAGTTGATCCGACCCGAAATACCGACTCAAAGCCGATTATTAATCGAACCTTCTGAACCCGAAAAAATGGTGACCCAAACCCGACCTGAAACCAACCCTAGACCCAAGTTGACCCGAGTATGTGAGACCCGAACCCGAACATGAACTGACCTAGAGATGACCTGACCCGAATGTAACCCGTAAATTATTGACCTCAACCAAACCCGACTTGAACCGAAATTGACCCAAACCTGTTTTAACCCGTCAAAACCCGAATTGTTACTAACTTGACCTGAATTCAACTCGACTTGTTCCTAACCCGACCCGAATTTAACCCAACCTATTACAAACCCGATTCGAAATCAGCCCGACTTGTTATTAACCTGACCCAAATTCAACCCGACTTGTTATTGACCTGACCCGAATTTTACCAGACCTATTACTATCCCGACCTAAAAATTCAACCCGATCTGTTATTAACCCGACTCGAAATCAATACGACTTGTTATTGACCCAACCTAAATTCAACCCAAATTGTTCCTGACCCGATTTCAAATCACCTTAAATGTGATTTAGACCACCTTATTATTGTTGATCAAAGCATTTTGTCTAGGGAGACCAAGTCGGTCCATGCCAGCAAAAGAAAGGAGCATCATCCTCAAATTTAACAATTAAATATAGTATATATTTGTTGTATGGTCAAAGGAGATAATTATCTTCCTAAATTATAGACTATAGTTTCCTAGTATATTTCCATATATATTATAGTCAAAGGAAAAAATTAGCTTGATAAAAATGAAAATTATTTATTTATAATTAGTTGAACCCGAATATGAGCTGACTTGGAAATGACCCGACCTGATTGTAACCTGCAAATTATTGACTTCAACATAACCCGACTTAAATCCGAGAATGACCCGACTTGGAAATGACCCAACCTGATTATAACCCGCAAATTATTGACTTGAACCGAACCCAACTTGAACCCGAGAATTACCCGACATGAAAATGACTCGACCTGATTATAACCCGCAAATTATTGACTTGAACCGAACTCGACTAAAACCGGAAAATGACCCGACCTGATTCTAACTAAAATTATTGACTTGAACCGAACCCAACTCGAACCCGAAAATTACCCTAACCCGTTTTAACCCGTGAAAACCCAAATTAAACCCGACCTATTGTTCATCCGACCGGTTATTATCCCGACCTAAACCCGACCCAAAACCAATAAGAAATATGACCCGATGTGACCCGACTCAAACATGACCCAACCAAAACCCGACCCGTATAGGTTACGGAATTAATCCGAATTAATCCAACCCAAGTTGAATCGACTACCTCTTACCGACCTAAACGCGAAACCTCCAAAATTTCT